CCCCCCCCTCTCTCTCTCTCTCTCTCTCTCTCTGTGTGTGTGCGTCTCTGAAGAGACACTGCGTGAGATGCAGCTTGTGCGCACGCTTCAGGTATGAGTCAGACAGCAAGACGAGATGGCAAAGAGTTGTTTTCTGCAACTTAATGCACTTAACTCTTTTTAACGTCAAGCAATTCTCTGCTATATGCGTCGACCTTTTGCAACATTTTGATTTAAGTAGCCTATTAAAATGATTCAGATCGCACCCCCTTGCTATATGCATTTTGTGATATTTGCATTTGTGATATTTCGAGATACCGTGCACCCCTAGCATCCATGTATAGTTTGGGTGACGCTATGGGCTATGTCAGGTTAGCTTACAAAGGTTACAAAGTCAGTGCATCAAAACATTGCACTTTATATTTGTATGTTAAAAAACGGCTCAAGCTGGAAATGTAGCTGCTCTGTAATTAGTAGTAGGCCAGACATCCTCACAAAGAAGAGGCGGTCCTTTGCCCAAACAGATGGCATCTGTTTAACTAACAGAGAAAAAAGTGGGCGTGAGCTCAAATGAGATGGGGGAATGTCCAGTACCTCAGATCATGTGCATCTTTAATTTCCTGGTGACAATGCAGAAACTTCAGCACACATGCACATTTTTTCCACATCGCTTCTTGCTGCTTAATTTGAAGCTGGAGCAACTTTGCAGTGAGTCAGAGAGAGAGGCTTGTTGCCATGCCAACGTGACACGCAAGTAAAGGAGTTCAGATGAGATGAGGCTAATAAACTCTGATTCTAAACTGAATTGTTGAATATTTTACCACGTAGATGACATCAGATTGAGGGGCTTGTCACGTTGTTTTGAAGATTGACTCCGCCTGCCACTGTTCCGCCTTTTTTCTTTTCTTTCTAGGCAGCTATCGCTTTTCTGGCACATTTGTGTCTCCTGTCTCTTTAATTTCACCACACATTGACAAGTTTGTTCTTTGAGAGCGGGAGTGTGATGTCCCCAAGTGAGTGTACCAAGCAGAGGACATGTAGGGACATCTCAAATGTCATCCTGGCTCAAGGAGGAAAAATAGCAGTGTTTTATATGTGCAACTGCATTTTGTAGCCCTAGGCTGAAATCCGATTGCTCTGCCGTTTAGGGTTAGTAGCCTTAAAGATGCACTCATACTAACTGCAGTGTTTACCAAAGCAGTTCTCTCTATTGAAAACCCCACACGAGATGTGCAAGAGTCTGTGATCTTACATAATTTGCAGTTAAGCTTGATTTTGTCCCGCTTGTTTAATTTTTTCCCCCCGTTCGTCCCCAGAAGACAGTACAAATGGCTTTTAAGATGCCGTCTGTTACATAGTTGATTTAAAAGGCAGCCGAAGTGCACAGGCAAGCTAATGCAGCCTCTGATTGAGCAAAAGCCGTTGGCCTGAAATTGCATCAGGAGCCCCAGACCATCATCTCAGATATTGTGAATTATTGATTCGTCCAGTTAATGAATATCACAGCTTGTGCCTCGGTGTCCAGGGAGATAGATTCCCAAATCCTGTTCAGGCCGCACAGCCAATAATGATTGCCGTTTAACTGTCAAACTCCTGTGAATTTGGACATTTGGTATGTGAAATCATAAATCTCACTTC